AGATCTAGAGTAATTATTCAGGTTTAAATACATGCAAGTCAGTAAGGCACCTTTTGGTTTTGTCTGAAATACAAATACTTTAGGCATTCATTGCAAACTAAAATTTTCATTTACAATTCAGCCATCAATATTAAGTACGGCTAGACTGACAGTCTAGCCGTTTATCTTAGGCCCTATTTACATTAGAAAACAGGAGGTTTAAAATACATGCACTGTCATTAAGGAACCTGGTTTTGTCTCAAACTCAAATACAATAGGTACTGCACACTAAAAATGTATATTTACAATTCAGTAGGCCTATTTTTTGTAAATGGTCAGTCTAGCCATCATATTAAGAAGACTGTGAGTCTAGCCGTACTTAAGTACGGCTAGACTGCCAGTCTAGCCGTCATTAAGTACGGCTAGCCTCTTCCTTTATTTTTTTTATTCGCACTAAAAAGTACGGCTAGACTTAGACTGCTTGGCTAGCCGTACTTAAAAATATGATGGCTAGACTGACCAAAAAAAAAGGAAGAGGCTAGCCGTACTAAGTGACGGCAAGGCTGGCAGTCTAGCCGTACTTATTCTTAATATGATGGCTAGACTGACCATAAATAAAATAGGCCTACTGAGTTGTATAAATTTTTAGTTTGCAGTACCTAAAGTATTTGTATTTGAGAGGAAACCAGGTGCCTTAAAATGACAGTGCATGTATTTTATACCTCCTGTTTTCTAATGTTAATAGGGCCTAAGAAAATTACGGCTAGGCTGGCAGTCTAGCCGTACTTAAATACGGCTAGACTTCTTGGCTAGCCGCACTTAATTAAGTATGGGTAAACAGCCAGGCTAGCCGTACTTAAGGACGGCTATCTGTCAAACTAGCCGTACTTAATATTGATGTGAACTGTAAATGAAATTTTAGGTTTGCAATGCCTAAAGTTAAAGTATTTGTATTTTCAGACAAAACCAAAAGGTGCCTTATTGACTTGCATGTATTTGAACCTGAATAATTACTAGATCTAGATCTAATTAGACCTGTGTACTTAAGGGGGGGGGGGCTAGCTACACCTCCAAAGTCAAAATTCGGCTCAAAATCATGGAATTTGAGTTGTAGGCATTTTTTGCTTCCTCAGCCTCTCCTACCACTATTTCATCGCGTAAGAACCCCCAAAAACAGTATTTTTTCCCTACCGGGCATGTTTGTAACCACCATTTCCTCATAAAGTCAGTATTTTATTTTTCTTTATTAAATCGGCCGTTTTCTCAAAACGCGACTTTCCTCTATACTTTTTTGAATAACTCCACCATTTTTCATCCAATCTTCATGAAATTTTCACAGAATTAAGAGAAGAGGTAATACTAAAAATTAGTCTGTTGAATTATTTTTGATATGGAATAGATTTTTGTTGGTGATGTCTGGAGTGTGGATTTTCCAGATTTTTCACATAAAAAACTTGAATGCTACCTCAGGAAAAAATTCATTAAAAATTTTCTAATTTGTTTAGAAAGAAAGCAACAGCCAAATGTTTAGATCTAATGTTTGTGAACACGCATGCAAAAAAACAATTAATTTCCATGAGGGATAAGTGCGGTATTCATTACGTAAGATATGTCAGTAAAATCCAATATGGCGGCGTATCCATGGAAACGAAACTTTTTTCTCAAATTTGATTGCGGATTTTAAAACTCCTTACTATGCTTGTTATATGTGTGAAAATTGGTAAAATTCGGTCCAGTAATAGCCGAGATAGCCTTCAGGTGTAGCCCCCCCCCCCCCCCCCCCTTCCCCCTTAACAGGTTTGAATCGATAGGGCCAAACCTAGATCTAAGTACGGCTAGACTGGCCGTCTAGCCGTACTAGCCCCTTCGAAGAAAAAAAAGGCCTACTGAATTGTAAATAAATAAACGAAGTGGCTAGCTCCGTACTTAAGTACGGCTAGACTACCAGTCTAGCCGTACTTAGATCTCTAGGTTTGGCCCAATCGACTCAAGCCTGTTAATTAAGTACACAGGTCTCATTAAATCTAGATTTAGTAATTATTCAGGTTCAAATACATGCAAGTCAGTAAGGCACCTTTTGGTTTTGTCTGAAGTACAAATACTTTTGGCATTGCAAACTAAAAATTTCATTTACAATTCAGCCATCAATATGAAGTACGGCTAGACTGGCAGTCCAGCCGTACTTATCTTAGGCCCTATTAACATTAGAAAACAGGAGGTTTAAAATACATACACTGTCATTAAGGCACCTGGTTTCGTCTCAAATACAAATGCTTTAGGTACTGCACACTAAAAATGTATTTACAATTCAGTAGGCCTATTTTTTGTAAATGGTCAGTCTAGCCATCATATTAAGAATAAGTACGGCTAGACTGCGAGTCTAGCCGTACTTTTATTAAGTACGGCTAGACTGCCAGTCTAGCCGTCATTAAGTACGGCTAGCCTCTTCCATAAATAAATTTTTATGTTTTTTGTTTTGTTTTGGTAGTGTTTTACAGCGCTCGCAACTGCATAAGGTCATATGAGCGCGCGGGACACACCTAATATTTTCAGTTGTTACGAAATTTTGAATTTTGCCTGGGTGGCGGCCGAAGCCTACTCTTTATCGATT